GCCCCGCCCCCGACCCACCAACTGACCCAGCAGGGAGGGGATGGCGGCGGCAGCGGCGGCAGCAGCAGCGCGCGGCGCCGCTCCCGGCATCGTCCTCTCGGGGTGGGGGGGAGGGTGGTTGCGTTTCCCGGGCCTGTCTTGTTCCCCTGCGCCCCCAGAATTTCCAAGCAAAGGGACAGTTTTGGCACTTGAACTTTTTTTTTTGCTGCCGGGTGCTGCGTGACATCCCCCCGGTGCCAACGCCAGAAGACAAAGAGCAAGAGGGGAAAAAAAAAGGATATGAAGTTATATTTTTATTTTAATCTTTTTTTTTTTTCTCAAGAAGAAGAGTCCATTCCGTGTCTTTCTTGACAATAAAGTGAAAACAAAAGTCAAATGGGGAGAAATATTGAGGGATACACTTTTTTTTTTTTGCCTCATTCCCACCCCACTTTTTTTTCTTTTTAGCTTTTATAACTTTCTTTTGCACCTTTAAAAGAAAAAAAAAACATACCTGAAGAAGTTCCGAGGAGCCCCCATCTGCATTTTTGTGTGTGTGCTTCATTACAAGATTCCAAATCGACTTGCACCTTTTTGAAATCATTGATGACATGAGAAAGAGAGGAACAGGAGAGAGAAAACAAGAAAGAGAGAAGAAAGAGGAAAGAGGAATAAAAAGTGAGCTGATGCTCACTTTAAATGGAGGAGGCGTCTGCATTGCACATTTGCAACGGATTTAGTTGATTTATATATATAATATATTATATAACTTTTTTGGCAAAAAAGCACTATTTTTATGGGACATTTTGTGTAGTATCTGAAGAGGGATTGTAATGTTTAAAATGTGTTATGGTGCTAAAGTAAGTTGGAAGGGAAAAAACCCAGAAATAGCAAGGGAGGGTGGGGAGGGAAGGACAAGATAGCGAATACTGAACTTGAAATCTTAGCTTTTCGTTTTAGGAAAAGTGTGATAAATGTGTTTCTTTTCTCTTCTAAAATATAGCTTGGTCATGACCATATGAGCTAGTTGGCTGTTACTCATGTACACAGATGCACGCACACAGAGAAATACATTGACACGCATCCTTTTTTTTTAAAAAAAAACAAAAACAACCACCAAACACCATGATTTAGACTAAAAGGGACCTGTTCTAGAGACAAACTGTTTTGAATGGTGAAGGTGTTGCCAGTTACAACGTGAGGCCCTGCGTCTGCATGGACCCCCCAGTGGAGCTTGGCTTCCTGACCTGCGGGGGACCTACCGCTTCCTGCCCACCCTGGCGCCTTGCGCGCCCACCCGTGTGCTCTGGCGAGTGGGCGGGTGGGTGGGAGGCCCTCGCTGCTGAGCCCCTGCAGGAGCGCCAGCTCCGTGCCCCCTCATCTCCTTTTCCTTCTCTTGCCCTTTGCGTCCTTCTCGCCGGACCCCCCTCCCTGCCCCACGCCCCCTGCCCTCCTCCCCTGGCACCCCCAGGGCTGCGGAGGAGGGGGCTGCACCCGGGGGGCTGCAGGGCCAGCACCACTGCACGGGACATGGGGAAAGGGCAGGTCTCTGGCTTGAGGCTCAGGACTTGGTGAGTGGATGGGTTTGAGAGGTGGGCAGAGGGCTGTAAAATAGGTTGGTTTTAAAATAATATATATTATCTGTCTAGGAACCGTAAAAAGGGGGAAATCAATTACATCTCCCTATGATATACTCTCACTTGCTAATAAAATGGGGACACTCTGTTAACCAGTTCTGTACTTGCTTTGTCTTATATATCCATACATTTAAAACATAAAAAAAAAAAGACTACTTGAATTGCATTCTATTTCGTGGTTTTGGAGGGGAGGGCTAGAGGGACTCCTGAAAGGGGGAGGATTTTAATGTGTAATCCTTTTGTTTGCTATTACCTTGCAATGTTGAGCCATGAAGCCTTTGTTTAAAAAAAAAAAGAAGGCACTACAATACACAACAAAGAAAACCCTTTATTTATTTTATTAAATATATATGGAAAAGAATGAAAATTGGTCCAAATTGGAGGGGAAGGGAAGTGGGTGGGTTGGGGAAGGCAGAATAAAACCGCAGCAATTGCAATTAATTTACTTTTTTTTTTCCTTTTCATATGTCTTTTTTTAAAAGAAACCTAGTTTTTATTTTTTAAAAAGAGGAGTAAAAGCTTTCCTGGATGCTTTGTACCAAAAAGAAAAAAAAAAAAAAAGAAAAAAAAAGAAAAGAAAAAAAAAGAAAAGAAAATCTGTTGAACAAATAAATATCCATCCAGAATATGAAGCCTGACTTTTCTTTTACTTTTCGTTTATTTTTGTTGCTGGGTGAGAGTTGGGTGGGGAGAAGGCCATGCCAAGCACCACTCTTCTTGGAGGGAGAGAGTGTTACAGGTTTTCTTTTTGGGGCTCAAAGCTGTAAGAGGTTGAGGCACTGTGATGCCTGAAAACACATCCCTGAAGCCTCAATCCCGTTGCTAGTGCCCCCTGATCCTGCGTGAGGTTTGGGGATATTTCCCAGTATGTGTTGGGATTTGCTTAGCTTCAGTTTTGTATGAGTTGGGCTGTTCCTGGACACCCAAAAGCTGAATGAGTGCTGAAGATGTGCCAAAGGCAGAAAGGAGGAAAAAAGTTTCAATCTAGATTAGGTTTCCTGATAGACAGAGCTTCTCTGGTTTCTCAGGGTAGATACATTTTTTGGGATCCCAATGAGGTGCTTTTTGTCGCACATACCCATTGTGCGCCAGTGCAAATGGGAGGTAAAATCCTGTGATTTCAGTTCAGTAGTAGAGCAACTGCTGGGTGAACAGTGTCCAAGCAGCCCTAATCCCCAAGATCAGCCAAAGACTGCTTCATCTGCACAGTCCCACTGGCATGGCCGAGACATAAGCACCTTGCTGAGTCCAGCCTTCTGCTCCAGATGACTTGAGCTGGAAAACATTTTCCACCTCAAAAGAGGACTCACTGATTTAGGCACTTAGGAATGCATATTTTAAACCAGTTTAAGGTTTTAAATTTTGCAGTAAGAAAAAAAATAAAAATTTTTCAGAGTTCTTTCTCTTGGGATTTTTGTGGTTGGTTAAAATGGTTTTTGCAGGGCCGGGTGCTTCCTTTGCACAGACATTTTATTGGAGGTGGAAAGAGGATGTGTCTGCTTTCCTGTCCCCATTCCACCACTTGCCTCAGCCCTTTGGTTTTCTTTGCACCAAAAGGTGTTCCTCTGCAGGGTTGAGGTCTGTCTTCATTGTGGCTTCTGGTGGCCACTGCTGGAAATTTTACCTTTGGGAGATTTGGTCCCTTTCTGGTTTTTGCTGTGTACACTGCTACCTTGGAGGAAATTTAGTGATTATTAAAAACCAAAGAAAACTTTAGCTAAGTCTCTTGCCTGCTTCCCCTAGGGAGCAAAGCAGTGATGGTGGAAGTGCTGTAGGGGTGATGGTGCTGATTCCAAGCACAGCTCATCTTTAACCCTCCTTTCTGCCATGTACCTGTCCCAGGTCACTGTGGGGACAGAGTAGAGCAGTTCTTTTTTTTGGATGGGAAGGAACTGTTCAAAACGTGCTTTCCTGCCTTTTGGCCTGTCAAGGACAGTGTATGCTTTCAAGTGGAAACCCAAGCAGCCACAGGAACTTCTAAGCCTGGTCCTGGCCAGTGGGTGGGAGACTAGGTGAAACTGGACGTTCACTCCAGCTCACGTTCCTTCTGTTGCCTGCAAAGCCTCTTTGCAGGTCTGCAGATAAGTCATAGCCTTGGCTTGGAAATCCCAGACTGTAGGCTTGACAGCCATCCCAAGACGCTGTGTTTGCTCCGATGGAATGACAGAATTTACTCTGATTTTTGTAATGATGCCTCTACACACAGACATAGCTCCCAGGGCTTAGCTGCTGGATCACAGAAGCATGGGAGATTGCAGCAGCAACTAGCAGTGCTCCCTGGTGAGGGACAACTGACAGGTCTGGGCACCAAACTCATTCCTCATCCAGCCCTGTTGGTCCAGTGACTTCCACCTGCTGCTTTGCTGGCATGTAAGAGGGTGGGGAGGCAAAGGATTATTTCAGCAGAGAAGTCCTGGATGCTATCTAGAGCCCCAGAAAGGACTGGGGAAGTCACCTCCTTGTCCTAGCTCAGCCCTAGTTCTGGCCCTTGAGTCTCAGTATTATCTCATTATTAGGTCTGTGGGCAACAACAAGCAAATGGATTTAGCATAAAGCATCTTTTCAGAGGGTGTTTCTCCAGTGTGATACACACAGGTTTACTCGGAAGGAGGGAGTATACAACTTGCTGTATGGAAGTGGCCACAGACTTTGCAAGGTGCAGAAATCAGTGTCTCTGGCTTTGTCTGGGTATGGAGACGTACAGGGGGAAAAACCCACCAACACATTTCCCCCCTTTTTTTTCCTTTGCATTATTTCCTGGGCTTTTTTTTTTTTTCTTCTTTTTTTCTTCTAATCCACAAAGCAGCCGAGCTGTTTTTCTAGCTTTCAGTTCCTCCCACTTCATTTTTTTAAGACTAAGTGAACCATAAAACCCAAGGCTGGTGTAGCACAGCAGTTCTGTGGCTCCCAGTGCAGGTGAAGGGGAACATACGTCTGCAAAGGCATGCAGACCTCATGTCCTAGGAGAGCTCTGGCATTGCCACTGAGGGACTGGGGCGGCTCTCACCACCCCCCAAAGCACTGAAGGATGCTCTGGCTGTTAGCAGGGATTGCACTGTGACAGGCATGACTTCAACCTGCCGGAAAGGCACGGCTCCTCATGGGAATCTTGGCCCCCTTCACTGCTGTGCTCTCAGCTGTGCACCCTGTTGCCAGCAATAAAATACCTGCCTCACTGTTCAAAATTACTAAAGATGAATTCAGCTGACTTTTCAAAGCTCTCACATGTATTTCATGGACATGTTTGTGCTTCTTTGTTGCCCAGCTTTAGAAAGAGCATAGCTCACCACTTTAGGACAGCGAGATAAAATACCAACAATTATAATGTGAAGCACAGTATTTGCATGCTTTTCTATGGGAGAAGGGCTGAGACAGTCTCTTTGTCCCCCTGTCTTCCCCTCAGTTTGTTTAGATTTAAGTCCATGCTACTCCTGTAGAAGATCACGTCCTTCACCTGTGTCAAGCTCAAAAGGAACTGATTTGGGAAGGCAGTCAAGATCTGGAGGTCTTGTTATAAAGCTTGTTATTGCAAACAAACATTACAAAAAATACCTAAATAATTTCTTAATAGAAATCTTCCTCCAAAGCAGCCAGGTTTTTTGTCTCATTGCCTGTACTGGCAGGCCAATGGTGTCTTATCAAGTCTGGTGGCTAGAAACCATCTCCTGATGACCAAACAATGTGTTCTAATGACATTCCTGCCTTTCGTCTTCTCTCCCTGGACAGAGGAACCATCTCCTTCATTTCACTAAGGTGCAAATACAAACTCTGCCAGCATTTCAGGTACAGTTTCCTTAAGGTCCATGTTAGGATCACAGGGACCTCTAAGGGTACCCCTCCAACTTCTAGGACCAGGAATTTCCCTATCCTTGCCCCTCACTGAAAAAGATCACCAGGAACAGGAATTTTGGAAACTTGATATTCCTGTCTCAAGCCAGAAGGGCACACTGATAATGGTAATTGTTGTTTTCTTCACAGATGGGGCATAGCTGCTAAGGGAGGGAGGCGATTAAGAGAATATTAAGACTTCATCTTCCAAGAGTTTGTTGCTTCTGTTTTTCCTCCCTCTCCTCTCCGTTCCCCATGCTTAGCAAAGAAAGCGGCAGGAGTATTATTTCTCAAGGCCTACTCTGACGTCAATATGCAGGGTATTTATTTATGAAATTGAATCTAACAGTGGGGGAGAGAGAAGCGGAGGAAGATGGACGCGCAGAGCCAGCAGCTGCCAAGTTATAATAGAGCAGCAACCTCCCAGTATTTTTCTACCCTCTTTTTCTGGGGGAGGGATGCAGTGCCCAGAGCTTCAGAGGCCCAGGGAAAGTGAAATGGAAGAGAGAAAGGGAGCAGGCAGGCTTAGCATTGAGAGCAGAGGAAAGGTACAGTAAAGGGAGGACCTAAACAAGTTAAATAGCCCATTTTTGGTGTTGGGATACTCAGGTTCAGTCCTTATGCAGTGAGGGTAGCACTGTTAACACTTGCCCTCAGGCAGGCTCTGACCAGGCTCTAGCAGCCCTTTCCTCTCAATCTCTTTGATCTTTACATAGAAAAATCAGAGGAAAATTCCAGCCCAATAAATAATTTCTCCTTCTGATGCTCCTTCCTTTCTTCCTGTTTGGGGTTCAGGCAGCAGAACAGCTGCCTGAGAAGCCAGCACTGGAGTTAATATGAAGTTGTCCGCTGCAGTCAATGAGAAACAGTTTTCCAGAGTA